AGCAGACGGCCACTTGTCCTGAGCCTGGTTCTGCTAAAGGTTTCTTCCTCATGAGGGAGTTTATTCTTTCCACTGTCGCCTTCATGTTTGCTCAAGATGAGAGTTCTGTGATGGAGTTAAACTCAAAGCAGTCTGCTCCTCAGATAAATAATGTTAACTTACGTTTTATGTCTGTGTACGTTTCTGTTCAGTGCCCTGAAATGACTTCTGTTGTGACGTGGCACTGAATAAATAAACTGAACTGAATTGAATTAAAAACAGCTCATTATTTGCCACCAGTGGTGGGATGTAACTAAGTACAAATACTTTGTTACTGTACTTAAGTACATTTTTCGTGTATATGTACTTTACTTAAGTAGAGTTAAATGTGGGTACTTTATACTTTTACTTCATTACATTTTACATCAAGTATCTGTACTTTCTACTACACTACATTTCTATAATGTGTTGCATTACAAGTTACATTCATGTTGCGGCTTTTTGATTTGTTTGTTACTTTGAAAGTAACCAATGGTGAGAGAGGAGCTGGTCCATTGAATCACTGCAAAGTGGGCAGGTAACGTTAGGCCCGCCTTCAAGAAGAGCTGGGCCAATGACATATATTCTAGTATATATGTCACTGAGCTGGGTGCACCTGCAGCACCACTAACACATCCAAAATGTATTCCACCTCAAGAGAGTCAGCCAGAAGATGCTCCACCCATGGCCTTATTGAAAGACTGCTCAGTACAACAGGACAGATTCTCCCAGAAGAGCCAGACTGGACTCCAAAATCTTTGAAAACCAACTTCTTCTGAACTTGAACAAGAAATTATTGCTGCAATATTAAAATGTGTCAGTTCATGATGTTAGGACAGGAGACAAGAGATGTCTCCAAATGTCTCGACACTCAGGTCGAAGTTTTAAAAATGATGTCAGGAAGTTAAAATATTGTTCAATATTGACCCATTACAAGGTTGAATAGACAGTATTTTAACTAGAGTTGATGACAAACTGGAGCTGAAATATCAGTGGAAATGATCAGATATTCCTTTGTTAGTTGTGTCTAATGCTCCTTTTGTTCAGGCAGACAACTTTTACTTAAATGTGTTTACTGCAGTTAAAATGACACATGGGTTTTGATTTGTGTTAAATAAAAACTTTCAAAGGTAAAATCATTCCTCTTTCTTATTTTGATTAATGGCATTTAACTCTGCAGGTCATCCCTGAAATTCTGACGCACAGAATCACAAGTCCAAGTGTGAACGGTGTCACAGAGTAAACACAATAAAAACATGAATTATCTGCAGCATCGTTCATTAAAATGGAACAACACTATTAATGTACAACAGAAAATATACATACGGTACGCAGACTTAAAGATATGTAGACCATTGCATTAGGTAATACATTCAGCAAGTACTTTTACTTTTAATAATTTAAGTATTTTAAAAGCAAGTACTTATTTACTTTTACTTAAGTAAAAATGTTAATGTGGTACTTCTACTTTTACTAGAGTACATTTTTGTCGGTTTATTTGTACTTTTACTTAAGTACAGTGTTTGAGTACTTTCTCCACCACTGTTTGCCACCTAAGACAGAAAGGCCTATTGCTCAAACATCTGCTTTGGTTTCACTTTCTCCAATCAGCGACTTCAGTAAATAACAACTTAGGTATAGTTTGTTCAGTAGAACTTGCTCTGCCCACCTTATTCACAGAACTGTGTTTACAGCTGAGGTTCCTCCCCGATGCCTGCTTCCTCCCTTTGTGTAATGATGACGAGCATGATGTCTTACATGAACCACCACCAGGGAAAGAGAAGTCCTTCGCTCATTGTTTCTGTCTAATGGGCAGGAATTCCCTGAGGTTTGCCAGTAAAACGGTGAAACTCATGCTGGTTATTCTCTGACCCTTCTGAACTTATTGGGTCATCTGTTTTCGGGAAGAAAAGCGGTTATCCACCAAATATTTTCACGTCTTGTTTCCAAGGCTTTCCCAGTTCACATGCTGATGAGACCAAAATACTGAACCCCGCAGATCTCTCTGCGTGGCCGGCAGTTGTCAGTCACTTCGGATGAAAATGTGTGATAAATGATGAACGCACAGACAAACTTCTTGGCTAACTTTGCAGCTTCACAATCTGTGACGACACTTCATGTTGTTTGAGACTGATGTGCAGAGTGAGGTGATTTCTTTAAGCAAATAGCTTTATTAAATTTTAAAAAGAGACTTTTCTTTGCATCTTTGCTTTAGCACAGTGGTCTACAACTCAAGACATCTGATAAATGACATACAGTTAGTCTTATAACAAAAAGAACTCAAATCTTTAAAGAAAAACTCGAGGCCCTCACTGGTTTGCTTCTAAATGGTCTCATATGCTAGAATGTTGCACCTGGAATCAATAAAAAAAACAGTTTTCCAGATAATCATTGATGTTCAGTTGTTACAATGTAGACATCAGGAAGTCCAAGAGAGTCCCACAAGTCCCAGGGCTGTCTCCTCATCAGACTCGTGCTGCCATCTACACAGAGGTCACCATTGGCAGCAGGTGTGACCACATCTGCACAAACACTGAGGAAAAGACGTTTGGGCAACAGCCTTGTGAAAATAATGGCAGCAAAGGAGCCACTTCTCCCTGGGAACAAAGACTGAAATTCTGCAGGAAGTGCAAGGACCAGGTAATTAAAGACTGGTGTGAAGTTATTGTTTCTGATCCTTGTTCCAATTGTTTGGGACATCTGGAAAGTCATTTGTCTGAAGAATAAAAAGTGAGACCCATAATTGTTTTTTGTTCTGCCAACAGGGCAGCATCCTGACACAGTCCATGTGTGGGGTTGCATCTCATCCAAAGGAGAGGTTTTAGTCACGGTTCTGCTCAAGAACCCTGAGAGGGATCAAACATCTACAAGCAGCTTCTTCCTATGATCGATGCTGAGTTTGGTGAGGATCTGGGTATTTTTCCAGGATGTGAAGCAAGTCTTAAAGATCATCACGTTGAGATTTTAGACTTGTGGCCAGGAACCTCTGAGAACATGTGGTCAAAGCTCCAAAGAAGCCAACAGATTTCCTGATGAGCTCTGACAAGAACGAGTTGCCATCTGTCGGGATCTGGACCAGAAGTTGAGCAGGACACGTCACCGACAACCACAAACCATTTTACCAGCATTTTGTACCATCACGAAACCTTCACACAATATTATTCAGCATTCCTGTGAAACACAATAGAACCATAAACTATGTAGTTCACGTGGGTCTACAAGGTTTATTTTGGAGAATTCCTATTTTTCCTTTTTGTCTTCTTTCCAGTTCACCTAGAAAATAAGTAAACCTGCATAAAAAGGTTTACTTTTCTTCCAACCTGAAGTTTGCTAAATTTGTTATCGGGAAGCAGGTTTCCTGATATTGTCGTCAATCATCTGGTGCTGCCTGCAGGCTGGAACTATACAACAGGAATTCTCTGCTGTAGCCTGGCCAGACCTTATTAAACAATAAGAGGGGGAAAAATGGTAAATGAAGAACTTTCTCGTAAAAAGGTTGATGTCAACATGTTTTGATCAACTTCTGATGGGAGCTGCGACCTGCGGTTCCAGTAAAATGTCTTGATGGAGGACTCTTTCCAGGAAAGGGTGGAGACGGATTCAGTCTTCAACAAGTGTTTACAAACCAAAATTAGGTCCAATAATCTGATAAGTGTTGGAATAAAATGAAGAGTTTCCTTGCATAAACAAGCTGCTGGAAAATGACCAGAGAGAGGAATGACAATTAGGCGTGCTAACTTTTAGGTATTTGGGTAAAAGGTCTCCTCTTTTTTTGTACTTTTAGTTGTTGCTGTCTCTAAGAGGTTGACTTAACTTCTAATTTTATTTTACTGTAGTTTCAGTGCTCAGAAAGAGACATAGCAGGCACACGGCACTTAGTACGTTTTCTTTCAGCTCATTCCCTTGTGCAGGAGTTGCCATGCGAGTGAACTCGCATGAAAGATTTGGCAATTGTTTTACACCCGGATGCCCTTCCTGATGCAACCTGGACTCGAACCTGCAACCACAGGATTACAGGAGCATGGCACAGACCAAGAAACTTAATAAATAGGCATGAGCTTGAAACTATTGGCTTTTATGCATCGACAAATGAATTTAATGAATTGAATATCTGTGTCATAAACTGAATTAGCAAAATGTTTTTCTGCACATAATGCAGTCGAGCGGGGAAATATAGAAATTACAAAACAAAACCAAACAAATTTCAGTCAGTTTATTATTTAATTCGAAGATTTAAAGATGCAAGGTTCTTTATTTGTCATTCCACCACACGGTCCCAGTTACATCCAACAAAAGTATTAAAATGTGAATACTTTTGTTGGATTTAAGCAGTTTCTGCAGGTACCCTTCATGTTTTTTAATGAGTTGTGAAACTGTTTTTCATCATTATAAGTCAAATAATTGTTGCTGTAATCCAGTGGTGCCTGGTCCCCCGGGGGCCACTTCCTGCATGTTTTATGTGTCTCTTCTTGGACACACGTGGGAATGAATGAGTGAATAACAGGTTTCTGCAGAACTTGAGGACATTTCAGGAAAAGGTGAACAGAAGAGCAGAAGAACAATTAAAACAAGGAAACTAGTGGCCCTCAGGGGACCTCCCCCCATGCAAACACACATGCACACGTACACGTTTTTGACTTTTTTGGCATTAAGATTGAAAAGCTTTGTACATTTGCATGTTTTTCCTCTCACGGTCTGCACAGTTCTATAGTCTACTTCTCAGCCCATTTAGCTGATAAGCTTCTCTGGCAACATGATTTTCCATCATCAGCTGCAGGTGGAGTGGGGGTCTTCATGCGTCACGCGCCCCCGGACTTTAAATAGAGCCAGACAGCGGAGTGCAGCAATTAGAGGGTCTTTAACACTGGAATCGACCGTCAATCCGCGATTGTACTGACTTTACTAGAGCTAAATTTAATAATAATATAATTTACAACCTGTCTTGGGCTTTTGATCTCGTTGAGTTTTCATATCTGGACAGGATGGCCAGCTCCGCGGTGCAGATCGTCGGGTTTCTCCTCGCTTTAGTCGGAGCTTCTGCCACCATCGCCGCTACTTTTAAGGTCGAGTGGAAGAAGGAGGCTCAGGGGAAACACCGCATCTATGAGGGGTTGTGGATGTCCTGCAGCGGCACGGACAGAACAACCTGCGAGTGGCACATGTCCATGATCAAACTGCCAAGTAAGCGCGCGCCTCTGCTCCTGCGTCCTGCGCCTCGGTGAGGCTGGATGGAAAGCTGATGTCTGTGTGTTCACTCCTGTGTAGTTGAGGTCCAGGCAACAAGAGCACTGATGGTGGTGAGCCTCTTCTTCTCTGCTGTGGCGCTGATTGTGTCCACAGTGGGGATGAAGTGCACGCGCTTCATGGACAACATGCCGGAGAGCAAATCCAAGGTAGCTGCCACTGGAGGGTTCCTGTTTATGTTGGCAGGTGGGTTCATGAGCTTCTCACTTCTAATCATTTTATAGCATACATTTTTTTTTATTAATAGAAATTTTGAAAATAAATGACAAGGAAAACTTTTTTTAATCTTGCATTGCATTAACTGAACACTGTTGATCAATGAAGAGCAAAGTTTGATAAATCGCATCCTTTGTGAGATTCAGAGGAAGTAGGAGTAGAGCTCTTGGGGATGGAACTGCGTCATTTTGTTTACAGGAAATGAAATGATGCTAATGATAAAATAACATGCCATGCCTGCAGCGAAGCATGGTGGAGGTTTCATCATGCTGTGGAGCTGGTAGTGGTTCTGAAGCCACCGACTGGAACAAATGGAAGATTTATTTATATTATGACATATAAATCAAAATATGGACTTTTTAATCAGCAAGTAGTTCAGTTTAAACGGAGCAAAAAGTTTAAAGTTAAGCTAAAATACATTTCTGCCAAAACGACTACTGCAAATTGAAATGAGCACAAATTCAGACTAGAAAAATAAAATTAACGCAAAGTTGGAGACAGCTGGTTCCAAAATGGCTCCAAGAAGTACCTTGATGTGTCCACACTGCTCCGTGCAATAATTATCATGACGTCATCATCAACCAAGTGTTAATTAGGATGAAGAACATGATCTGTGTTGTTTTTGTTTTTATTCATGTATTACGGTGAATTTTGGACAATTTATTTAAGAATTTTCCAACAATTAATCATTTTAGTTAACAGATTTCAGAGCAAACACATTAGCTTCAGCTTTCATGTTAAATTTTTAACATTTTTTATCAACAAGTTCATTTTTGTTACGCAGAATCTGTTTAATCATAAAATATCAATTCAACAGCATACTTGTTTACAAGAGTTAGCGCACTTATCAGTCATTAAAATATGTTTAATTGGCTTTTGTTCAGGGGTTTTGACCATCATCATCACCTCCTGGTATGTCAGTAAGATCATTGAGACGTACAACAGTTCACATCGTCTGCAAAGGTAACTCCACGAAGAGCAGAGCGTTGAATCACTGCACGTATAAACACCCTAACCTTCTAAATGTGTCTCTGCAGCCGAGAGTTTGGTAGCGCCGTGTTTGTCAGCTTGGGCGGTGGATTCCTCACAGCGGTCGGCGGTGCTTTCCTGAGCTGTCAGACATTTTGTAGGAGAAGATCATCTGCGTCCACAATCTCCAGCCATCTCCTCCCCACCACAAACCCCAAGTCCAATTATGTCTAATGAAGGAGCGAGCAGAGCGACATTCCACTGTCAAGCGATTATAACTGCCCACATTCATCTGGTGACTAGATGAGAATCAGTCTCATTTGACCCGTGCTGCAGCTGCTTTTTCTGCTTTCAGCTGCAACAATGTGAAAAATCATTATTTAGATATATGTTTGTATCCCACAAATCATATAGAGTTTATATTTTTTGTAAAATCATGTAGAATCTCCTTAATAATTTTGTTGTGATCCAACATTTGATATATTTTGCAATGCAAACTGTTCAGTTTAATGCTGGTGTAAACTTTTTTTTATATGTTTTCTACTTGTGAATAAAGTTTTATATTTTTACCAAGCGCTGTTTCTTTCTTATATTATACATTGGCTAATGGAACCATTTAAAAAATATTGTACATCTTGAAAAGAAAAATAAACTATGCTGATTCTTTTTTTTTTTATTCTTTCTGACTTCAGTGCAAAATCATAACAAAACACTGAAAACACGAGAACTACAACTAGAGAAATTGCATTTCCTGCGACAAAGCAGTGTGGATGCGTATTATAGAAGAACTTGCTAAATAAAAACAGCTGAAATAATCTAAAAGAAAAAAAAATACTGAAATGTAGTTGAAATGGAAGAACAAGCCTAATTTAGCAAAAGAAAGCAGAAAGGACACATATTTGCTGAATTAGATTTAAATGAACAGAAGAGAGCACAAAAAGATGGAAATGAGCTAAAAAAAGGGCTGAAATGAGCAAAAAATGTTGCTGAAAAGTAGCTGAAATAGCAGAAAGAAGCTTAAACTACCAGAAGGAAGCAGAAGGAGTTGAAATTAGCTTAAAAATGTGCAATTACCTGAAAAAGCTAAAAACAGCATCAAAAGAGCTAAACAGTAGCTGAAAGAGCAGAAAAAACTGAAACTAGCAGAAAAAGCTGCAAGGAGTACTTTGTATAACAAGCTGAAATTAGCATAAAGAAGTTAATTTGGATGAAAGAAGCAGAAATGAGCACAAAACAGTGGAAATTATCTGAAAAAACTTGAATAAGCAAAAACAGCTGAAATGTAGCTAAAAGAGCATGAAGTAGCTTAAATTACCAGAAGGAAGTGGAGAGAGCATATTTTTTGTTGAATTAGGCAGAAAAAAGTTACGAGTGTAAAAAAATGTGGAATTAGCTGAAAAAGCTAAAATCGGCATAAAAACAGCTAAATAGTAGCTGAAATGGAAGAAAAAGCTTAAACTTGCAGAAATTACCGCAAAGGAGCATAACAAGCTGGAATTCACGGAAAGAAATTTGAAGATGCACAAAAAATATTGTTGTTAGCAGAAAAAAATGTGAAAAGAGCACAAAAAAGCCCAAAACACAGCTGAAATTAGCTGAAAAAAAAAAGTTTAAATCTGCATAAGGAAGCTGAAAGAAGCTGAACCAGAACAAAATGTGAAAGAAGCAGGAAAGGTTGTAAACAGATCTAAAGATTTGAAAGATGTAAAATGAGCTCAATTCATTTTCTATGAGGAAAAAAAAAAAAGTGGCAGAAAAGGCTAAATAGTTCAAAAAGCTGAAGTTGCACCAAGAGCAAAAGTCACACCCTTCTCCTGAACAAGCTGAACGTTTTATTTTTGATTTGTTAAAATAGTACAGAAACGAGAAAGATGCTGAAAAATGTACAGAAGAAAAATGGATCACAGTGTGAATGCTTCATAAACATTCACACAATAAACTGGAGTGCTTTAATAAATAGAAAGTTCATTATTTACACTGAAAGATATACTTTTGGTCACAGGTGAAAAAAACATTTTGACCATTTTATTTATTTTTTAATGACGAATTTCATTGCAAGGAAATAAAAAAGTAATTGTGTGACATGCAGGTTTTTCCTCACTGTCATTCTTAAGAATTATAATACTGTTTCCCATTAGTCCAATAATTATTTTAATTGTTTATTTACTGTCCTGTTTCTTGAAACACTAAAATAGATTATGTGAATATAAAAAGCACGTTGGCTTACACAACAGATAATTTAGTGGAGTTGAAATATTGTCGGTAAATGTTAGAAAATTGTAGAGTTTTCTGTCAAAAGATGAAAACATGTCTCTTTGCTTAAATAATTCCCCTCACATTAAATAATATGATGTTTCCATAATTCTGAGTAGCGTTAAAAACTTTTCTTCAATCAAAAAATGGTCAACTGCAAACAAAAGAAGCTTGAATTTCACTTGATGTGCGAAATGTAAACCCTTTAGGAAGAGTGGCATGTTTGTTCACATTAAACAGCATCATTACGCAAATATTTTATTGATGCACGCAGATTTTTATTGTTTTAGCAGGATTTTCTGCCCATTTAATAAATAGCCAGAGCTGCAGAGGAAATGGAGTAAATTGCATTTATTGAAAACATGTTTAAAAACATTGATTAGATGATTAACCTGCATCAGTTTAAATTCCTACATGAGATCTTTGCTTGTTGAAAATCAGTGATATCAGTTCAGCAGAGCTTTCCCCTTTGGAACAGCTTCCTTCCTGGGATTTTTACTGTCATTTCCACCATCTTGAAACTGCACAACATCCGTTGCAGAGATGCCATCAGAGACTAAAAGCTCCTGTGACCCAGTTACATTTGACCCTCTGTGGACAGACGTAACGACAGAAAACCTGTTGCATGTTGTAAGATCTGCAGTTTAGAGCTTCACTGTTGCCTAAAAATAACTAAGACTGAACTATAGGCCTTGACTGGCCATATGTAAAAAGAATGAGGGAAAATCAGCTCAAGTCCAAAGAAAATACTTTAAAAATCACATTAAAGTTTAATTCCTTAAAAGCAACGTATAAAAATGTTAAGTGATTTAAAACTGTATTATATTGGGGAAAAAATATGTCATGTCTGAACTTGTGTCACTTTTGGAAGCTTATATAAAACTGATGCATTTCTGAACCTGAAGTATTTGGGGTGCCGTTTATGAAGTCGCACAGTCAAAAATCAACATCAATATTTTGGTTCATTTAGATTTTAATAAGAAAAAAAAGTTTTATTTTTCAAAGTCATATTTTCACCATGTTATTTATACATTTATAAATGTCATAGTTCCCAACTAGTTATTTAATTTACAAGATAAATATTTAGTTTGCAAACTAAATATTTAACTTGCAAGTTAAATATTTAGTAAAGTCAATATTTAGGTGTAAATTAAATACTTAATTTATACCTAAATATTTAATTTGTGAACCAAATATTTTGGTATAAATTAAATATTTAATTTACATCTAAATATTTAGTTTACTAACTAAATATTTAATTTCTAAGCTAAAGATTTAATTCCTAAACTAAATATTTAATTTGCTAACTAAATATTTGGCTCAGACCTAAATATTTAACTAGCAAGTTAAATATTTAGGTCTGAGGTGAATATTTGGTTAGCAAAGTAAATATTTATTTTGGAAATTAAATGTTTGGTTTGTAAAATATATATTTAGGTCCAAGCTACATTTAATTAGCAAATTAAATATTTTGTTTAGGAATTAAATGTTTAGCTTTGAAATTAAATATTTAGTTAGTAAACTAAATATTTAGGTGTAAATTAAACATTTAATTTATTCCAAAATATTCAGTTTACTAAATTTAACTTGCAAGTTAAGTATTTAGTTTGTAAACTAAATATTTATTTTGTAAATTAAATATTTAGTTGGGAACTATGCCATTTATAAATGTATGAATAATGTGGTGAAAATATGACTAAAAAAAACCAACTAGTTTTGTTCTTATTAAAAGCTAAATAAGGTTGAATGAATAAATGAAAAATAAATCAAAATATTGATGTTAATTTTTGACGGTGCAACTTTACAAACGGCACTCCATAAAACATCTGGAGCACTTCATGCATGCATGAGTTTTCCCCGGGGACTCCATGTTAGGCTGCAGCCTCAGGCTTCCTTTGCAAGAGAGATTTTCCTGGTTAAGTAAAGGGTAATAATAAATAATAATAAAGAAGGTTTTAGTGTTTTCCCCTCTGCCCTTTAACAATGCAGCCTTTTCTCCATTCATATTTATTGGTCCAGTGGACTCAGAGTGGAATGGTGAATGTGGGTTATCTCTCCGATGTGGTGCATTTTTGTGGCGTGGCACATAAAATCTCATAAAACGTTAGCAATGCACTTTTTATACAAGAATGTAAAAGATGTCAAGTACAAGTTCTGTTCAGATTTACTTTAAAAACACCAAATAGAGTTAAAGATTTGGAATTTGGAATGACATGGAAGGGAAGAACACGTTGGTAATTTAGTAAACAACTCTTTTCCATCTTTTAAAGTGCAGGAAATAGTTCAACACTAAGCCCATTTTTTATTTTCTTTCTCCCCCTTTGGACGTTTTCGTGGAAATCAGGAAGAGTTGATCCCAATCAGGATCTGTTGAGTAAAGTGGCCGTCACAGGAAAGTTGATTTACAACGTGTAAAGACACAACATGCAAACTCTCCACAGAAAGACCCCAGGTCCAACAGTGGGACTGAGTCCAGAATCTTCTTGCTATGAGGCAACAGCACTAACCACTAAGCCATCGTGCCTCCAGTTTATCAAACTGCAGCAACAAGTTAAACAGCATAAGAATGTATTTAAAATTTTGTTTTTGCTGAAATACTTAGGAAATAGTAATTAAAAAAATGGATTTAATGAAAACAAAATGATGTTCTGCAACTTTCCAAAGCGAATCCTTGTCATGTGCTTCTGTGAGTAGACGGACTCCACATGTGAACTTCAAGGACACAGAAAAGGTCCATAATGTGCAGAACTAGCATCAGACGGGTCGACTCCTTCTTTAAATTCACTCAAGTCCATCTGTTGTCTTGTAGGTGTGTGGGGTTTTCACAAAGAGGAAAGATTTATTTGTTCTTGTTCAAACTGAGCATAGGGGGATCCTGGATAAACAATCACGGCAAAGATTAAACTTCACGTCTTCTTTGTTGTTTACTGAAAGTGATGCAGAGGATGCAGCTGCAGGAAAACAACAAAGAGGAAAGCCATGATGAGGAGATGCATGGATACAGAGAGGAGAATGTCCTGAACGATTTGAAGAGCAGAGACAAATGACTCACAGTTGGATGACTCATGTGACAACACGTTTTGTATCCTAAATTAACAAAAATAAAAACATTATTTTGAGTTTGACTGCTGACAGTTATGTATTTGTTTGCTTTAACATCTTAGACCTCTTTTTGACTCTATGTGTTTTTGTATGTTTTGTTTTAGCTTTACTCATACTAAACCTTTTTTAGCACAGTTTTGTGCCTGGTGATTTAGTATTATGATTATTATTTATGTTTTGTAACCAAAAAACTTTTAGTATTTTGTCTATTTGTATGTTAGTGTGATTGTATTTGCACAGGCATTTGTGTTGCTCTACTCTACCTGTTTGTATTTGTAATTATTTATATCCTTAACATGTGTGGTTTTTTTTTGCTTTATAGAACTGGACCTGACATTCTGTGTTCGTTTCTCCTTCCTGTCCTCTCAAACACCAGCTGGTCAAAGCAGACGGCCGCTCGTCCTGAGCCTGGTTCTGCTGGAGGGTTCTTCCTGTTAAAAGGGAGTTTTTCCTTTCCACTGTTGCCCTTGTGCTTGCTTAGGATGGCAGACTGTACCACAATGAAGATTCAACACAATCTGTTGGCTTTTTTAGATAGATAACTTTTTAATAATTGTCTTTTTATGTATGTGAATGTTTTTGTTCAGTGCCATGAGATGACTTCTATTGTGACTTGGTGCTGTATAAATAAATTAACCGATTTGTTTCACATTTATTTGTAACATTTTGGCACCATTTTCATATATATATATATATATATATATATATATATATATATATATATATA